ACTGGTTGTGGAGGTCCCACCAACTGCTTTGCGGTATGGAGTCGCGGTGTCTCCTCCTAGTACTTTCTGTGTTGTTCCAAGATCCACTGCCCAACTGCCACCCTAACTTGGGCATGAGATATACCGCAAGCAGGTTCTTGGTTGGTCAGTGGTTTCTCGGTCCCTGCCTTAGCAAGTTCCGCAGCAATCTCGTTTTCTTTGCTCCTGTTAGTACCAGTTGCCCAAGTGAGTTTTATTCTGTTTGAGCTCCCGGCCAGGGTTGTAAGTTCTTTTACACAATCTAGCACACATTGTGACCTGATTGTGTAAGATTCTAATGCCTTTATTGTGGCTTCATCTCCGGTTACGATGGTAATGTGCTTACGTGTGTAGGCTCTTTCCTTCATTTTCCGGGCGCAATTTGTTATTGCTAGGATGTTTGCTTGGAAAGCTGTCGTAGTTGTACCCAGGTTTAAGGTGATCCTTTTTTATTGGAATGTTATACAATATTGAATTTTGCGAGTGCAGGTTTGACGTAGTGCGAGGTTTATCCAAAATTAAATGTCTTCTGTTCTGAAAATTTTCCTTTTCCTGTTTCTAAAGTTTTTTATTTCAGTTGCGTTGAGAATCGTATAGATTGAGAGGATGCTTAGAACCATGAACCTTTTTAATATGCAACAGTTAAGTAGTGAGTTTTCTGACTATCGCTGTAAAATCATCACTTCAATCAATAGCCAAATTCGTGGAAACTCAATTTCCGTTCTTTCTAATAATTGCCAGTAAGAAAGAGAAAGAATAATCAAATGTGCTTCAAAAATTAAATAAAATTTTCATAAAATGTATTTAAAATGCCTACTGAATCCAATAGGGCAACTAATTACCCTCATTATTCAAGAACGAAATCATCAACATTCATCGCCTGAATAAAGGATATTTATACTTATTTTTATTAGAAGGTCTTTCACAATATACGAGTCGGCAATTTACTTAACCCGAAGAAAATATTTCGCAACTCATGGCGCAGAATTGCTTTGTGAGTGCGGCAAAGAAAACATTTTGTAAAAAGCCTAATTATACTAATACATCTGAAGGCTTACTTATATTTTAGCATTCTTAGTGGCGATATTAACGTGTAAAAGTTTTAGTGTGGTAGATATCAAGGATTATTTTAATTTTACTAACGCTTGCATAACGTTAAACATTAATAATTTTTTATTTTAATTTCAATTGCAATTTCGTTGACCAGTTGGAAAGCCATAACTAATAAATACTGCATTTTGTGCAAAATAGTTTCTACTTATTTTCCTTGAAATTTAGTTGATTAATTAGTAATTATTTGCGGAGCAGATATACTGATAAACGGAGTATGTATGTACAAAAAAGTAGGCATGTACAAAAACGTTTTTTCAGATGATTTTGTAATGATGTTAATGTAATGAATACTTATTTGCGTAACTTGATGGTGAAATGAAATTCAAAGTGTCCAGTTGTGGACAATTTTTTCATCTTTTAGGAAAATATGAATGCCTATATAATTAACAGTATGAGTGGTTGAACTCTAAAATATGTATCCTAACTAGAAAATTGTGGGCGACTGTAAAATTTGTTATACACAACTTTCTTTGTATGTTATTTTTCGTAAGCGATGCCTATAAAAACAAAGCCGTCTAAAAAATAAAAAATTTTATTTAGTTAGCGAACCTCTTCAAAGGCTTTAATGGTCATTACCTAATGCAAAATTGGCAACAAACTATTCATTTTTACATAATAGCTATTCTAGTTAAAATTTTAAACATTATTCATTTGCGACCCCATTTATATCGTCCATGATCATAAACCCACAAGCTAACTTATGGACAGCAATAAATTCAACCAAAATCACTTAAGAAATATATTCCCATTTCATATGTTTATTACCACTTATGCTTTTGACCTTCGAAAACCAGTAGATAATATAAAAAAATACTTTTTCCTTTGACCTTTAACCAACAATTTATATAATTGAAACCTCCAGTGCTCGTGCTAATAATTTGTGCGTATTGGAAACTGGCAAGTTTAATGACTAGAATGCTGTTTGCAATTTGTGCACGTTTTCCGTCAACATTAATTTAAAAAACTTTAGTTTAAACTGAGATCGATATGTTTGAAGGAAAATGAAAATCCAAACATTTCCAAATTAAATCACACATCATACGTGATGAAACATGTAAATTCAAGGAAATATTAGCGATTTTGCTGGAAATCTGACGACTTAATTCCACCAGAAAATGAGGCTGTTTATGGGAAGTTACAAATTTTTATTGAAATTTGGAAGCTTCTAAAAGGGCACTGATTAATCAGTTAATGCACGCTTGTTTTTCATTTGCAGAAACGTTTTAAAGCTCTACAGAGTGATTGAACTTTACTCAGCAAAACTTTTAAGCAACATTACAAAACTGTTATATACCCTATGTCCCAAAAATGTTACAAAGCTGAGGTTGCGACTGTTAAAGTCTCACTCGACAAGTATTTATTTCACAATTTGTTAGGTACATAATGTAAGAAGTATAAACTGTGTTAAACCAGAAATAAACCATGTAGAAGGCAACCTGGAAAACGTTTTTTTTTTTTAAAGCACATGTAATTCAAGAATTAAAAAGTGTTCCTTAAAACTTTGTGAAAAAATCCGCAGTTTTGAGAGACTTCAAAGTTCCAATACATGTTCACTACGCAATCGACCGCTCGTTCAAAAAGCTTCATTATTCATTACTTTACTTTGCAAACAACTCAACTCAAGTCAAATATTCTACGTTCGATAAAACGATTTTATTCTTCCAAAAGTTAGAAAATCCGAGCGAGCAAAGTCCAAGCGTCGTTCACTCAAAATCTCCAGGGTAAAATAATAAAGCTCATTCAATTTCAAGATTGAAAATCCGAAAAAACTTTTGTGTACTGTCTAAAAAAGTCTTAAGACGCAGTTTTTTACTTAAATGCTTTGGCTTTGGGAAAAGTATAGGATTTTTCAGTTACCGTCCAAAAGATTTGACCTGCAAAAGTTTTTGAACATCCCTAACAAGTTTGGCTATATGCATGGTCCCTAGGTTTAATAAGCTTGTAAGACTTGCGTATCGAGTTTTGTCCCTTGCCTTGTGTCGGTAACAAATTGAAAAATAATTACGCGTTGAGGGAGCATCTTTTAAAAACCGTTATCTCCGCTGAGTGGCATTTTTGTACTAGAGATGATTTTATATTTTCGTAATGTTTATGGATGCAGTCTCGTGGATTACAATTTGACATATGTTTT